CGCTTTTAGACTGACAATGACATCTGTTCAAATAAAATCATGTTCCCATCACACTAGGCAAGAACAAAAATACGTGCATTAATATGTAGAGAATCAGTAGGAAGAAACAGGAGGGAGAGAGAGTTTAAGCACAGATGTTTTATTCCCCTGATCTCCTACTGCCAAATGATAAGATGTTCCCATGGGAAAATGCCCCCAAAGTATCAGCTCAGTTCTGACACACAGGGACACAGCTCCTTCCAGCCAGGCCAGGCTAACTGTGAGCAAGAACAACTTCAGCTCCACCCAGGTTGATGGGGAGAAGGGATGATCCTGGAGGACAGAGGATGAAAGGGAAGAGGAGTGAAGGGTGGATCTTGCAAGGCTAGAAGAAGAGGCTATGGGGACCAGGGCAACAGAGGGCCCCAGGAGGACTCCCTTCTTTCAAAACCAAACCTGTTAGGTGACCTTGAAGAAGGGCAAGAATAAGGACAATTAAGAGACTTTTTCTGCCCTTCTTTTCCCTTTTTCTATTTTCTCTCCCCCCATTCACTCTCCTCCCCACACTGCCTACACATAAACAAGGCAACCAGAGAGTGTGTATCCAGCACAGAGGAGAAGAGTTGTCAGGCAGTGGCCAGTGCTGATAAAAGAACTTGGGGTTGTCTGCCAAGGCCACTCCCTGCTTCTCTAACGGCTCCCCCTACCTAGGAAAATGGCCCTGGGATGCACTTTGAATTAGGTGGCTTGGAAGGCCCTTGGCCAAGCAGGACCAAAAGCCTCTTCTCTAGTCATGTGAAGCAGGCTCTCAATCCAATCTTTTCTGATTGCTGGTCAGCCCCCACTGATTACGGGGAACCTCAGAGGAGGCTTGAGGGATGAGAATGCCATCTTTTGAGCAGAATTCTTTCTCTAATATAAATAGGGTCTAGGGCTGGTAGAGTGCTTGCCTAACACACATGAGGCTCTGAGTTCAATCCCCAGCTCCATCCAAACTCCTCCCCAGCACCACCTGAACTCCTCCCCAACCCCACCTGAATTCCTCCCTAGAACCTCCTGAACTCCTCCCCAGCCCACCCCCCAAACTTGATATGGTGGTATACACCTGTTATCTCATCTCTCAGGAGGAAAGTAGGAAGATCAGAAGTTTAAGGTCATCCTTGGCTACATAGAAAGTTTGAGGCCAGCCTGAGCTACACAAGACTTCCATCTCAAGAGGAAAAAAGAAAGAAAGAAAGGAAGAAAGAAAGAAAGAAAGAAAGAATGAAAGAAAGAAAGAAAGAAAGGAAAAGAAAAATAGGTGAAGGAGAGATGCAAAGGGAAATTGTTGATGAGAGATCTCAAATCCCATACAACATTCACATTTGATTTCAGAACCATGGACTCTTATAAAAAGTGTTTTTTGCACAAGCAGATAGATTTTTTTCCCCCTTTAACTTAAGCTGATAGATCTGTATAAGTAGAAGAGCCTTGTAATTTAGTAGGAACCTTCAGGTACATTATCTCATTTGGGATGCACAATACCCAAACACATAAGGCAAATTACTCTGGCTCTTGCTTTACAGTTTAAGAAGTAAGGCCCTTGACCTGGGGATTTGTCTTCTTGGCTTCCAGACACTCCCAGAAAAGATGTCCCCACTATTCAGGAGAAAAAAGAGGAATAGAAAGGAGGATCCCAGAAGAGAGGCCCTTTAAGACGAGAGCCATGGGGAGACATAGAAAGACTACATGAAGGCAGCGTGGCAGCTGTTGCTGGTCTACCCAGCATGCAGATGAGAGCAACAGAGGGCTGAGTATCATCAGCCCACAGGATCCTGGGGGATTGTGCACTGTTGTTGTCTCATGCCAATCAGCCAGCCTTTAGGATGGCTGATTACACAACAGATAGTGAAGCAGATGCTAGAGTTCTCCAATAAATAATAATACTAAATATTAACAAATGGAGCATGGCTTGGTCTCCTGACTGATTTCAGTAATTTATTCACTGCTCTGAGATGTGACTGAAATTGGAGAAAAATAATTCAGAAGTTTCATACATGTCATTTACATAATAGAAAATGAATTTTAGCTCAGAACATCCAGCTGTGAAATTATCTTGTCAGTATGCAAATGAACTAGAGATATACGTATGTAAATGTGGACAGGTAGGAGAGTGTTATTAAAATACTTAGTATGGTTACACAACGCTTAAATGTTTTTTTCCTCCTCTATGCTGAAGGAAAATTTTAAAGCCTAGCAAAAGCAGAATACACAACAACAGAAAAAAGAAAAACAACTAAAATAAATAACCCAGTGAGGAAAAGACAGACAAATCATGAAACATTCAAATAAAGGAAGAACAAGGAACTCTAGTTTCAGCTCTCAGCATAGGTAAATCTCTAAACATCAACAAAAAAAAGGAGGAGGGCAGGCATTGCGGCACACACATGTGACCCTGGCACTCAGGAGACAGAGGCAGGAAGAACAGAAAGAAGCTCAAGGTCATCCTTGGTTACATAGCAAGTTTGAGGCCCACCTGGGACACATGAGACCTCATTTTAAAAAAGAAATAATAAAATTGCCAGGCATGGTAGTGCATGCCTTTAATCCCAGCACTTGAAAGGCAAAGCAGGTGGACCTCTGTGAAATCTAGGCCAGCCTAGCCTGATCCACACAGTGAAGTCTAAACCAGCCAGAATTTCATAGTTAGACCCTGTCTCAAAATAAGAATAATTAATAAATAAAATAGATACATTGTAAGACCATGTCTCAAGAAGAAAAGATTCAAAAATAACAGAGTAACTTGCCAAAGCAACTTATGCTCTACCAAAAAAAAAAAAAGCCAAAAGAATGTAAGAGACATTTTCAGAATAATGTATCACCACAGAACTTGGGCTAGGGAGATGGCTCAGAGGTCATGTGCCTGAATTCAAATCCCCAGCAATCAAGCAAGAGCTAGGGGTGATGTATTTGCAACCCCAGTTCTGGGAGGACAGAGACAAGAGGATCGCCAGGCTCAGTGAGACCCTATCTCAAAAAATAAAGTAAAAAACAAAAGGGAGATATCCAACATTGACCTCTGGCCTCCACAAACACCCATGCACATGTATGCACACACACCCACATAAACACGCACACACACATTGCACATACACACACGCACGCACACACAAGGGAGAGAGACCACAAATAATTTAATGGAATTTACATAAAAATCTCCAAAATATAAATCTTAGCAACATACTGTTTAGGAATATATATCCAAGAAAAGCAGTAATTTCCCTTCAAGGGAAGGACAAGCTTGAAGAAAATGGCAAAGATACCTCTGAAGTCACTGGCCATGTCCTACTTCTTAATCTGGACAGGAGATAAATATATGCACTTAAGAACACCCTATGCTATTTATCTGTGATAAATATTTTTAAAAATATTTAAAACATTTAAATATTTTTATTTTATTAAAATATTTTAAATATTTTTAAAAACTTTCATAATAAGAACACTATTTAAAATATGATCAAAGAATATAGCAAATGACAATTAAGATTGTCTCCAGCAATATGTTTATGTAATTCATAATCAACCTAGTTTAAAATAAGAGTATTGATCACTCAGTAATCTCCTTTAAACTCAGAACAGTGGCTCATACCTGTAATCCCAGCACTTGGAAGGCTACGGCAGGAGAATCATCATGAGTCCAAAATAAACCTGAGCTACAAAGTGAGCCCCTATCACACAAAGAAAGAACAAGGCCATTGAGAGGACTCAGTGGATAAACACCAATCTGAAGACCAGAGTTCCACCCCCTGACCCACAGTGGACAGAGGAAACCAACCCCCCAAAACTGTTCTTGACCTCCACAAGTGCATGGTGGTGCACATGCACCAACAGTCTCACACCACACACACACACACACACACACACACACACACACACACACCATACACAAATGCACACACAATAATCATAAAAGAAATGAAAGAGAAGAAAACAACAAAAGTCACAGCAGGCATACTACAGAGATGTAACTGACCTCAGAGGCACTTACACAGTGATAATGCCAAAGTCTCCTATAGTTCATAATTCCTACTAAAGCTATCCCCAAAGGAGGCAGGTATAATTGTAAACCCGTCATTCAGCAGCCACAGGCCAACTTTGGCTACACTGCAAGCTCCAGGCCAGACTGGGCAAGAGCAAGATCCTGTTTCTGAAAATCAAATGAAGGAGCTGGAATGATGGCTGGGGTTAAGAATGCTTCCTGGTCTTCTAGTTCCCAGCGCCCGCATGGGCCTGCTCATAACTGCCCATGAATTCCAGCTACAGGGGATCAACATTCTCTTCTGACCACCTGGGGTACCTGTATGTATATAGCATGCATATTCATCCACCTGGGAGAAGAGATATCTGCTCTCCCAGTTGGGGACCAGGTGAATGACTTGACTTTCCATCCATTTGCCTGCCTTGGACAGAAGTTCTAGAAAGTACCACACCATGTACTAAAAGACCCTTCCCTGGCAGAGGTGGCTGACTCAGCACTAGACAGCTAAGGTAAACCCAGCCAATCGTGTTGCCACCTGCCCACCGTACCATCTTTGTTCTTACCACTTCCCCTTATCTCTGTGAACTTCCTGTACCATTCCTTAACAGAGCACACTTCCACACCCAGGGGCTACACTTGTACCATGTGCTCATGAACCCTGTCTTCTCTTCTATCTATAAGCTCTGGGAGGGTAGAAAGGGGTCAGTGTAGGCTCACAATTGTGTTAAGCCAGTTAGCACAATCACAATCCCTGGCACCAAGTAGGGATTTTGTGAGAATTGCTTTTAACAAAAGAGTAAAACAATTGTAATTCTTTTCCCAAAAGCTTTAGTCTTATTTCATTAAACTTATATAGAAATATACTTGCTTTAAGAAGACCCAAAATTAGGGCAGAGAAACCAATGTCATAATGGAATCTACATGCAGCCTCAAAAAGGACAATGTCACTGAAATTTAATATCATGTTAAATTTTACAAGTGTAAGGAATTAATAAAAACATACCTGAATGAAGCTGAATTTTCCCAATAACTCCTTCTACCAATCCCAAACAAATGGGATTCCAGGCAAGAAGCAGATCAGTGGCTAAAATAAAGTAAGAAGCAATCATGAGAATGTATTTACCAGAAAACATTAAACTATCTTTTGCAGCATATTTTAAAAAGATTAGCATATCCCCCAAAAGCATTACAAACATCCCCCACGAACATATTACCATAAAGGACTTTGTGGTAAAGCAGAAACCCTGACACCTCAGGAAAACTCTGGCTACCTAGCAGTTATGGAGTCAGAGAGGACTGGGGACTTGGTTGATGGAGGCAGTGCCTTGTTTCCCGACAGGGATGTAACAGGCTACTGCACTACAAAGAGAGTACATGGTAGAACCCACCAAGGGGCTCCAGACCCAAAGAGGCCTGAAAATGGCCATGGAGCTGTCCACTTTCTGATCACACTCTGAAAAACACCTTTCCCCAAAGGGTCATACTCTAGGCAAAGGAATCCAGAAAGCCACATTCCTTAGACATGACTTTAGGGCAAAACCAACAGGACCTGCTTTTTTACTGAATGCCACTGTGTATGTGTGTGTCCCTCATCTGAACCACACAACAGGCTACAGTGATTTGTGTGTAACTAATTCTGTTCTAGACATCCTAAAGAGAAGCAAATTACATATAAAACATGTCTAAGGACAAAGGTTATAATTTAACTCTTCTCCAACCTCGGTTACAAAAGATTGCTACACGCACAGTGACAAATGTGACATTTCTGATAGTTCAACAGCTAAAAAAGATTAGCAAGAATTAATATTCCTTCTGGTTCAGACCAGCAAGATGGCTGAGAGGGTGGAAGCATTTACCATGGAAACAGGACACAGCCAACTCCTGAAAGCTGCCCTCCGACCCCCACATGTGTACTCAGGCACATATGTTGATAAGTCAAATTTTTTAATTTTTCTGATGACAAAATTACATTTTAATTATTACCACTTAAATTTTATTTTACTGAAATATTATCTGTTACATGTAGGGTAATCATACACTAATAGTTTAGTTTTCAAATTCATTTATGTTTTGATTTTTTTTCATCACCCTATGTTGCCATGGTTAGTCTTGAACTCACAGTGATGATACTCCAGCTTCAGCTAGAAAGCACAAACAATAGATTGCTTTGGTTGGTTGTGGCTATTTTTGCAGTGCTGGGGCTAGAACCCACCGTTTCACAGATGCTGGGCAAAGTGCTACCACCAAGCTTTACTTACCCCAACTTCATTGTTTTTATTGTAAGAATTGATGGGGGAAAACGATTTTAAAGGATTCTATACATATTACTGTTTCTGGTCTTTTGTTTTGTTTATTTGTGAGTATGTGACAGTGGGGGCACATTTATGCCATGGTGTCCACATGGAGGCCAGTTCTCTCTCCCACCATGTGGGTTCCAGGGACCAAATCAGGCTGCAAGGCTTTTGAGGCAAGCACCTTTACCCAATGAGCCATCTTGCCAGCCCTCATTTTTAATCTTGACAACATTATGAAGTTGACATCAGGAGTCCCATTTTACAAAAGTAACATGGTCAAATCACCCACAGGACAGGAGACAGAGAGACAGAGAGTGAGTTCCAGGCAACCCAGAACAAGAGTTTTGAGATATTGTTTCAAAATTTTAAAAAGTAAATAAATAAAAGCCTAGAGCCAGAAATGGTGGTACATGCCTCTAATCTCAGCATTTATGCTAAAGTAAGAGGGTCTTGAGTTCCAGGCTAGCCTGGATACACAGTAAATTTGAGGCCAGCCTGGGTTAATGGCAAGCATGTGTTTCAAAAGAAAGAAAACCAAGGAGGTCTGCCAATCTCCCTGGGGTCGAACACCACAGCAACCTGCTCTAACACCTCCCTCAGAAACCAAACAGGGAGCTACTGACACAGAAGTTTTAAATGCCATATGTGATTACAAAGTAACACTAAGAAGCCGAGGGAAAACTGGCCAGAGAATAAGGCCCTCTATTGCACATTAACCCAGCGCCACACAGAACCACCTACTCTTAAGAGCAACATTTCCTGAGGACAAAATTTTTTGTTTAAAGTCTTTTCCTTGGGCTGGAGAGACATGGTGGGAGCCAGGCTGATCCCTAGCTTTCTTGGAGGCCCTGATTCATGGAAAGGGAACCTGCTGGGGAAGGCCAGTAATGGCCTGGGGCCAGGACCCTGGGGTAGCATAAGAATCCAATTCTTCCTCCTAATGTTGTGACCCTTTAATACAGTTCCTCCTATTGTGGTGACACCCCCCCAACCATAAAATTATCTTCATTGCTACTTCATAACTGTAATTTTGTAACTGTTATGAATTGTAATATAAGTATGTGTTTTCTTCTGGTTTTAGGTGACCCCTGTGAAAGGGTCATTAGACCCCCAAAGGTGTCACAACCCACATGTTGAGAGCCACTGACCTAAAAGGTTATGGACACTGTATGCTTGGTCTGTGACAAATTTGAGTTGTCCTGAGTTCCCTGTGCAACATTGCTTGATCAGTACCCAGCTGTTGGTCCAGGCCAACAGTGCAACTGCTAAGAGTACTTGCGGCTCTTACAGAGGACCAGGGTTCAGTTCCCAGAACCCACTAGATGGCTAACAGCCACCCATAACTCTAGTTCCAGGGCATCTGACACCATCATCTGACCTCTATGGACACTGCACAGTATGGTGAACTTACATACATGCAAGCAAAACATTTAGATACATAAACTAAAAATAAATCTTATAAAAAATATTTTAAAAGAAAATATCCTTAAAATCATGACTTCACAGAGGCATAATTTTCCATTTAAGGAAGTACTTCCTTATTTAAACATCAAGTTTTTTTTTCTATTATAAAAATACTGTGATACAAATGATGAATTATATGTAAATATTTCATGTGTCTCCATTCTTAACTTTAGGATAGATTCTTAGGAAAGAAATTAGTAGTCACAACATTTAAAAAATTAAGGCTCTCAAGCATTATCAAATTACTTCTATAAATGTTATATCACATTAGATTTTTGCCAAAAGCATATATAAAAGCTTATTTTATATATACATAGACATATATATGTGTATCATATATATGTGCGTATATATATATGTGTGTGTATATATATATATGTACATATATATATATATGTTGCAGGGTATTTGTTCACACTGACACTCAGAGACTAATAATTACCTTGAATCAGAGGGTGGAGTCAGCGATTGCTGACTGGAATTGGCCATAGGGCTTTTGGAGGAATCAGATGGGGGGCACAGAAAGATACAGGGAGGGGCCTGGAGGGATTTCTTTCTTTTTGATCTGGGAAGCACTGAGTGTAAGGGCCGACTGATTGTTCCTCCACAGCTCTTTGAATGTGTCAGGTTTTTACCCCTTAATATCTGACTCTTGAGTTTTTATTGATATCAGAATAACTTAGATAAATGCATCAGCTGGCATCCAATGCATGGTGAAAATGTGGTGTTAACGGCACCCCTTGTCCACACCAATGCAGGCTGCTGACTTTTCCCGCTGCTATCTCCCTGCACTCCCCAGGCTGACTGACACTCTCTGGGCCTCAGTCACAGCCACTTCCTGCCTGCTCTACAGCCACCAGGGTCAGCTACCCACTGCCGGCTCTGTCATCCAGGTGGACCCATGCCCTCCCACATTGGACCCTCAGCCCCCAGCTGTGCATGAACAGCTGCAGGTGCCCTAGGCTGGACTGTGCAACACAGCTGCCAGCCCAGCTGTCTGGACATCCCACAGCAGACACTCACCTCACTGGCCTGCACCTCTTGGCCCTGCTACCAGAGTTATCCTGGCTGCCCTCACCCCTATAGCTGAGCTCTGCTGCTGTAGCTGGCTACCCCCATCCCCCTACACACACACACAAACACACACACACACACACACACACACACACACACACACCACCATCACCACCACCACCACCATTACTGCTCTGAAAAAAACTGAAATATCAGCAGACCTGGGAATTCTTAAAGGGGGAATTAGGTTTTATTAAGAGTGTGTGTGTGTGTGTGTGTGTTTTCCACTTTAACAATGGAGAATATTACTCTGCAGGGAGTAAATACACTGTGTAGTTCCACAAGGGGTGGTTTGAAAATGGACTAATTAAAGGGATAACAAAACTTAGCAGGGATTGACATAATGTCAATTATAATTACTATTAAGTTTGGTAATTCATATTTTATCCTTAAAAACGTGGTTTGATATGTGCCAAATACAAAAATTGATGTTACAATCCTTACAAAGACCTACTGTACCATCACATGATGAAATTGAAAAGGAGTGGCCAAAGGCTATTAGAGCACCAACCTTAATTTATCCAGTTAATATTAAAGATTGACCAGCAGATGATAGGAATTCCCAAGGTTATACAGAAGTTAATCAGAATTCTGTAGAAATGTTAGATTTGAGGAGAACTAAGGAACTGGTCATTTCAAATGGTATGCATTCACCCTATGTGAAGCAAATACTAAATTCATGGGCAACTCAAACAGAATTATCACTCAAGACTGGAAAGACTTAGCTACACAAATATCAGAAACTGGTCCTAAGTTATAATGGAGAACATGGTGAAAGAGGAAGCTAGGGCCATAGAAAAATGAAATAAGGCTAGAGGTATCAATACTTCCCAAGACCAGTTTCTCAGTGAAGGCTAGTATGCTGACTGGCAAAGACAGTTTAGATTTGATGATCACACCTTGGTGCTATGTCATATAGCAGCTGTGAATGCTTGGGACAAGGCTGAAGAATCAGAAAAGAGGACTGAATCACTTACTAAAATTATACAAGGCCCAAAAGAAGCCTTCACTGATTTTCTTGCAAAGTTTGAATTCATCTGTAATTAGAATAATATCAGATCCAGAAGTTAGACAAAGATTAATTGAATATTTGGCTCTTCAAAATTCTAATTCAGAATGCAAATGGGGTGGTTAGGCCTTTAAAGGCAAGATCAGCACCCATAAATTAATGGATCCAAAATACAGCTGACATTGGATCTCACACTAATGCTTCTACTTTAATAGAAGTGATTTCTAAAACCTTTAAGAAAAA